TGGTGACCTTTAATGAAAATTCTGCAATAGCTATGGAGCTCTCTTCTCTCTCATGTAAAACCCTAACCCTACATACACTTGGATTTTCGCCTTAGGCAGTCTCTGGTGCAACCTTCTTCTTCAACAACCCCATTAGCCCCACATCCTTCGAATCCTAAAGCCAACCCCATACCCAATATGAACTACTCCAATCTCTTGAAACCTCAAACAATGAAGAACGCCATGCAGAACCGTACCATTGCCATTCTAGTTACGATGCTACATGGAGAACCGTATATTGGATGGACTAAAGCGGAAGTTGAAAGAATTGTCATCATTGAAAATCTCCAACACGCTATTGGCAAATTTTCATATGGATGGCTTGAGCTGGAGGAATTGAGATCGACTATTCCAACACAATATAGTATGAAGGGAGACTGTTAGATTGGTTCCTTCCGTAATCAACATGTTTTGATTAGGTTATCTCTTAAGGAGGATTTTATCAACCCAACATTGAAGGTTGGTTATTATATAAATCCAATGATGGTAGTTCATACCAAATGAGGCCACTTATTTATGATTTAAGATTTTAGATTGAGGAAGAAACATCTCCCTTTGGCCCTATTAGTTTGGGCCTTAAACTTGGTAAGCATGTGATGCACCTACTTGCTTTCTTAACTTTGGCCTTGTATTCTTAGGCAGTGTTATCAAAGGCGAAATGCGCAAAAAAGCTCTAAGGTCCGTGGGGGCTTTAAGCGCTAAGAGAAATAAAGCGTGGACTTTAATGAAAAAAGGTGCAAAGGGAGAAAAGAATATAAATATATATGTTTAGTCCGAGACTAATAATTATAAACATGAATGACAAATATATGACCAAAGAAATTGAAAAAAATTTATGATCAAGTGAAATATCAATTAGTTAGTTTCACTTCTTCATAAGAGGCTCATTGGCAAGGAAACGTTTGCCTTAGAACCTTGATGACGACACTGAAGCGCACATGAAGCGAGGCGAAGCGCTCAACACATTTTAAGCCTCGCTTCAGGGCTTAAGCGCGCTTTTGATAACACTGTTCTTAAGTAGGTGACACACCTACTTGTACTACTTTATCTTCGTCTTTATCATTTAATATAGTTTTTCGGGAATACAATCATTCAGGGTAGGCATGGGGAGTAGGGTCAGGGCGTGGGATATTGCTCTAGTAGCACTTATTTTGATCGTATGGAGAAAGATTTAGGAGAACCTTGATGGAATAGAGAAGGATTTTGCATACTTGAGGATAGCATCTTATCCCTTGTTCTCTTTTGCTGCTGCACCCATAAGTTTCCTTTAGGTATAGAAGAATTAATGTCATTCTTAGAAAATCATATACATTGTGAAGTTCTCTACTTTTTGGTTTACTCCTTATATACAAGTATATGTTTTGTGTCCATTGTTAATAAAGTATTATTACTTGATTAAAGAAATAAGGAACTGAAAACCATTGTTGAAGATCAAGAACTCTCTTTTACGTCATCTATACTTTTGGGGTTGGGAAGACTTTCTAGAAGCTCAATGCTAGACAATGTAATTTTGGCATCATCTTGGTGTGCTATCTATAAAATGATTTTTATGGTTTATATAATAGAAAAATAACTAGGAAGGGATGAAGTATCTGTGAAAATTCTGATGTGCCATGTATATTTTTGCACTATGATGTAGTCAAATTAATCTAATACACATGCGGACACATGCTTGACGCTGTTATTAACATAAGATATAGTGCACTTAATTTTGTCTTTTTCTTTGCTAGAGCACACTTGATTCTCCTTTAGCGATCTTGGTGCTCAGTTCTTGGTGGCTTATTTGCTTTGCTGTAACTTCTGTGCAGCGGCATGCGTCAAGGTAATTTCTTGTCTTAAGTTCTCCTTTGAATTGTTTCTTCATGGTCATTCTCTGTTATGCAGTATAATTGGCCTCAATTCTTTCGTCCTTTTTTGATAAATAAATAATCTGTCTTTAATCTACACACCAATGACAACATCATGTACAACATTTAACTTTCAAAAATCTGTACAACTATGTTTACACCAAAATACACATGACTGAAAGATATCCTTTGGCTCTTTTCTATCCTTTGAAAATTCTTTGTTCTTCATCCCCCTAACAAGTGTGTATAGTGGAATTACAGTGAGGCCTCTCTATAACAACCTCGTTTGTCCAGATCTTATTTTGAATGTTATTGTATACGCCTATAACACCATTAGCATTTAAATTTTATTTGGTTGTTATAGACAAAACTTAACCAAAAAATTATATTTAATAATATTCATGTTATAAAAGTTTAAAGAATATTTAATTTAAAGGTATGTACCCCATATGGCATGAATGATAACGAAAAATGGCAGAATTTGCCCAAGGAATGTAAGGTGATTTTTTGGTAGTTCCTTTGCTTGAGCGTTTTTTTTTTTGTTTTTTTGAAACTGGTAATGTTGTATTCCTCAGCATTAAGGTATGCTGGAGACCTCCAAAAAGGAAGTAACAAGCTAGAACAAGAGACTAATTACAGTAATCCTAAAAGATCTACTAATTGTTCAGCATTTTCTATACAATGTTCTTTACACCAAAAGTAGAAAGTTGTTATGCAGCTCTCTTTGATTTTCTGAATGTTGTTGAATCTATCTGCAAAGTTTCTTCCATTCCTCTCCCTCCAGATAGTCCACCAGATACAGTGTGGGATTATTCTCCACCACTTCTTCTGTGTCTTGCTTCCCCCTCTCCTAATCCAGCAACTTAACAAGTTTGCTGTGTGCTCTGGCATTGACCATTTTGTCTCTGTTAAACTGAGGAACATAGTCCAAAGTTGAGATGTGACTTTACAATGGAGGAACAGATGATTATTTGTCTCTCTAGCGTCACTACATAACATGCATCTGGACACAATTGGCAATCCCTTTTTCTGCAGGATCTCATGAGTGAGGCAAGCTTTACTGATTACTAACCAAGCAAAGCACTTGACCTTAGTAGGAGCCATTCTTTTCCATACATGCTTCCAAGGACCTATTTTGTTCTCAGGCATCCGGAATACCTCTTTCCTATAAATTCTACCTACAGAGAACTTGCCATCCTTATCATGTTTCCATCTAAAAGTGTCATCCTCTACAGTAGTGCCTTTGAAACCATCAATCATCTGCAATAGCTCCACAAACCTGCATACTTCCCAGTCATTAAGATGCCTCCTGAAGAAGAAGTTCCATCCCTGTGGGGACCAGCTATCAGCCACTGCAACCTCAAGGTTAGTGCATATATTGGCCAGATCAGGGAAAACTTGCATTAAAACTTCTTGTCCAATCCATAGGTCCTTCCAAAATAGTATTTTGTTCCCAGCCACCTCATAATATGAATTCTTTACTAGTCTACGCCAAAGATTAGACAAGACTTGGCTATGCTTCACATTACCGAGGACATGACTCTAGATAGGAAGGAGTGGAGGTCGCGTATTAAGGTTGAAGGTTAGTAGGGTTAGCGTGTGTCTTCCCTTGAGAGGGTTTGGGTTGTTAGCGTTTGGAGTAGTCCTAACCTTATGCTGTTTACTGCGTTTCACTCCCAATATCTTTCTTGATGTTATTGTCTCATTTGTTGATTATACGCTATCTTTTGTATTGGCTGTTTTGTTTTATATATATCTCTCCTGTCACTTAGATTTGATGTTCTTGAGCTGAGGGTCTCCTGGAAACAGCCTCTCTACCTCCACGAGGTAGTGGCAAGGTCTGCGTACTATTTACCCTCCCCAGACCCCACCTAGTGGGATTTCACTGGGTTGTTGTTGTTGTTGTTGTTGTCTACGCCAAAGATTCCTTATAGATCTCCATACCGATGTTTCATAGGTGGTTGATACTGCATTGGTACACCATTGCTCTGTCTGGCCATACTTATTCAGGATTACCTCCTTCCATAGAGCATGTTCATTTCCATTTAATCTCCATAATCATTTCATGAGCAAGCAATCATTCTGCAGTTTCAGATTCCTTACTCCTAAACCACCAGCCTCCTTGCGTAATTGTGCAGTCTGCCATTCTACCAAATGATACCCCTTTCCCTCCTTGTTCCCAAACCAAATAAAACTTCTTCTTAATCGGTCCAACTTCTTGACTACACTTATTGAAATAGGGAATAGGGACATCACATATGTGGGAAGCGAGTCCAAAACTGCATTTATCAAAGAGAGACTGCCTCCAAGAGACAAGTATTGTGTCTTCCAGTTTGCCAACTTCTTGTCCGTCTTTTCCAAAATCCTATCCCAGATAATCAATTCTTTGTGTTTGTTGCCTAATGGCATGCCTAGATAGACTGTTGGTAATTTGTCTACCTTACACCCCAAGGTACCAGCTAGTTCCTCCATCTGCACCACTTCTTTAATAGGAAAGAGGTTACTTTTCCTCCAGTTAACGCTTAAACCAGAAATGGCTTCAAAAACAATTAGTATCATCCTGATATAGCAAATTTGTTCAGCTATAGCCTCACAAAATATCACAGTATCATCTGCATACAACAGATGACATACTTCCATATCTACTCCTGCTCCGCTGCTAACCTTGAATCCCTTTATCCACCTGTTGCTAATTGCAATCCTCATCATACTGTTGAAACCCTCCATGGCAATGATGAATAGGAAAGGGGAGAGAGGGTCACCTTGTCCAAGACCCCTCTCTGACGGAAAAAAACCCACAGGTTCTCCATTTACAAGTATGGAGAACCTAACAGTTTTAATACAAAAGCCAATCCATTTCAACCACCTTTCACTGAATCCCATCTGTCTGAGAATGTTTAGCAAAAAATCCCAGTTCACGTGATCATAAGCCTTCTCTATATCTAGCTTGCACATAATGCCTGGCACCTCCCCTCTCAATCTAGTATCCACACATTCATTGGCTATAAGAGCAGCGTCCATAATCTGTCTTCCTTTAATAAACGCCATCTGATGAGTGTTCACCAATTTATTTACTACCCTTTTCAACCTTTCTGTCAGCACTTTGGCAATGATTTTTACAGACCCCACTGATGAGACTGATAGGTCTATAATCCCTTAATGCAGCAGCTCCAATTTTCTTGGGAATGAGAGCCACATAAGTCGCATTGAAACTTCTTTCAAAGACCTGGTGAGAATGAAAGCATTGAAACTTCTTTCAAAGACCTGGTGAGAATGAAAATGTTGCAAAGTGTTCATGATATCTTCCTTCAGGACCTCCCAAAAACACTGGTAGAAACACATAGGGTATCCATCCGGGCCAGGTGCCTTGTCACTGGCACAGAGCTTGATACTGTTAAGAACTTCCTCCTCTTCAAATTGCCTTCGCAACCGTTCTTGTTCCTCATTGGTAATTCCTGGAGCCTCATGGAGGTTAAAGTCAGGTCTCCAATTTTCCGGTTCCTTGTATAGGTTTTGATAGAAGTTCTGAATGTTCTCTTTTATCACTGCAGGATCAGTAATTGTTTCACCCTCCACTTCTAGAGAGTCAATAGCATTGAAACTCTTGTGTGCTGTGGCAATCCTGTGGAAATATTTAGTGTTCTTATCTCCACTTTTTAACCATTGAACTCTGGACCTTTGCCTCCAAGCTATCTCCTCATTTCTAGCCAGCTTCTCAAAGTCCAAAAATAATTGGACTTTTGGGCCAGTTCGTCCTCAGTGAGCAGCCTCTGATCTTGATTGTTCTCTAGCATTGAGATTTCATTCAAGATTTCCTCCTTTTTCCTCCAACTGACATTCCTTTCCCTGTTCCACTCCTTCAGTTTGTCTTTTAAAAGCTTCAGTTTAGTGGCTAAAATGGAAGCAGGGGTGCCACTGACCTGAAACGAAGCCCACCAAACTCGCACCTTATCTTTAAAACCCTCCGCACCTAACCACCACTGCTCAAATTTGAAATAGGACTTCTTAATTTTCCAATCCCCACAAACAAGCATGATAGGTCTATGATCAGATCCAACATTGGGAAGAAGATTGTGTTTGATCTGAAGGAAAAGCTCCTCCCATTGGGAACAAAACAAACATCTATCAATTGTAGAAGCACTCATATGATTTTCTCCCCTCCTCCAGGTGTAAGATCCTCCAAATAAAGGAGGGTCAAACAATTCCATCTCATTAATCCATTTAAAAAATTCAGCCATTGCACCTGTGATTCTATGTCCATTTGTCCTCTCAGTTGGGTATCTAGTAACATTAAAATCCCCACATACTACCCAAGGCCCATCACACTGACTTCTAATAGCAGATAATTCCAGCCAAAGATTCCTCCTTTCGATTCTTCCACACTCAGCGTAAACCGCACTCAGATACCAGGTGAGGTCTTGGTTAATGCCGACAAATTTACATGTAATCATTTGGTCACCACTGTCAACCAATTCACCCAACCAATTCCTTTTATCCCATAACACTGCTATCCCCCCACAACTTCCTATAGCCTCCATATGTATCTCCCCCATCCATCTGTTAAAGCAAAGTTGTTCAACTAAATTAGAGTTTCCCCATCTAGCTTAGTTTCTTGAATTACATGAATATCTCCCCCCCACTGTTGTAAAAGTTCCTTACAAGACATCTCTTGTTCTCCCTATTAAGACCCCTGACATTTCATGAAAGAATTTTTATTTTCATTGATAACTTAAGGAGTAGTTTCTCCCCCTGCTCCTAGACTCTCCGTCTTTGAAGTTCATGTCAAAGACCAGATTTCTAACCTCTTTAGGCACCAAGTCTTTGTTTTTTATTGATTTGTCGCCCTTGTGTTGTTGTTGCTCCTTACCCCTCTTCTCGTCCACCTTCATGAATAAACGAAAAGCAATTTTTTCACAACCTGTGAAAGCTGCTCCGAATCGCTGACTGAGTTTAATAACATTGGAGTGAACCCAAAGCGTTGCCTTGTCCTCTATGTAGCCCTCCCCCTGTAATTCTTCGATGTTAAGTGCTGTTGGGTCACTGTAAACAGTTAGATGCCCACTGTTGCACCCCCCCCAAACTTATCTCCTCCGGGGTCTAAAGGTCAAAAATCATCCCTTCCAATTTTGTCATTGTCCTGTTGCATGTTGATATTCAGAAGTTCGCTGGACTCTGGTGGCAAAATAAAAGCCTCTTCCCTGTCTACTGAGGTGGTGGTCATTCGCATGGCCTCTTCTACATTATCTCCAAAGGGAGAAAGAGCTTTCAAGGAGTAATCCTTCCCGAGTTCTACATTAATGAAATAAGTAAAAGGTTTCACAAAATGTTTTTGATAAGTCTTAAAAGACTGAATCCTTTGAGCTGAACGCCCAACAAGATTTAATGAGATATTTGGCCCAGCAGAAATAAAGATATGACCCAACGGCTCCTTAGAATTAAATGAGCCATCAGAAGGGGTCCCACTAGTCACATCAATCCTTATCTCCTTTTCTCGTTAATGCTTGATGTAATATCCCTTTCAGACCCCTGGGTTATCATATGAATAGTCTCTTTCTCCTTCATGGGCTGTGGCAGACTGCCACACTCTTACCCAGAGACATCCCTGACATCTCGATTATTGTTCTCATCCACCCCACTCCTTTAGTACCTCGCCGGTGATTCACACCAAACCGGCAACGAGAAGGTATAATCTCCATCATCTACTTCGATTGTGGAAGGGATCTGCTCTCTGGGTCCTTTAACTCGAATTCTTGCTCATCTAAGATGATTTTTGAGTTTAGTTTCCTCCTCGTTTTTCAATCCAACCGCCACATTTTTCCCCAATCTCCTTCATCACTTTTTCCGACCATAAGTGCAATGGAAGCCCTAAAACCCTAATCCAAAACCAGTCGAAAGTTTTGTGATCTGGAAAAGCACCTGCTTTTGGAGACCACCATTCTAACAAAAGTCTGCTTCCTTGTCTTCTCCAATCCCCCAACAGGATATGCTGAGCAGCTTTTCTGGATTGGAATTCAAACAAAAATTGGACTCCATTCATATCATAGACCTGAAGATTTTGAGCCCCTTTCCACATCTGTTGAGCCCATTTTCTCACGTCATTCCGAGTGGGTATCTGGACATAGTCAGTAAAGCATCCGACCAGGCATCTGTTGAGAAAATCATTCCCCTCTATTTTTGAGGCTGCTTTTAGGGTCACTTGCTCCATGTCTATTTCAGACTCTCTGAGTCCATTTACTTTTATGCAAGGCTTCTTTGAAGCATCCCTAGTAGTATTTATTGCACCTTGTACTCCTGTATCTCTATTAATGAAGTTTTCAATCATAGTCACAAGACCACTCCAACCTTCATCAAGTTTGTTTTCTGGCATGATGATGACTGCTCTTGTTTGGCATTAACCGTAATAATTGAAATGAATCTGCCATATTTGTTGAACTTTAAAGAGCAGTAAATGTTGGTAGAGATAACTCTACTCCTCTAAGATTTAAAGCTTCTTCCCTTTATGGCAGTAGCTTCTTTCAACCTTGTGCATAACCAAAAAAGAGCTCCTTTGCTCAACACCATCCTCCTCATCTGGCTTTTCGAACTTTCCACCCAGTCATACCAAGTCTCCGAGCAAGATTTGGACTCAGTTAGATCATAGGACTTGCCCCCTAATCTGAAATAGATTCGATTATCCATCAATGAAAAAAGACAGAGAAAAAAAGAAGGTAAAGAGGAGCTCCGGTCCTTTACTTGAGCGTTTAACAAGTCTCCATGGTGATTCCTTAAGCAAAAACCATATGAACTTCTACCAGGATAGCCCCTGCTGGCCCAATCTGTGTTGCACTTGTTGCTTCCGACCTCTGGCAAAGTCCGTTGTATCGTTTTATAGTACAGTGTTGGTTTGTAGGTCTCCAGGTATTTTATCATATCTAGCCATCCAGTTATGTGACAAGGTTCTGTTAAACCATATCAACGATCACCTTTGAGAATCCAAATTGCACTTTGGTGATAAACAACCAAGATAATCTATCATATGCCTTTGTCATATCAAGCTTTATCACTACATTAGGTGTTTTGGTCCTCTTTCTTATGTCCCTTGCTCGTAAGTTATAACACATGCTCTACAATGCTTCTTCCTTTAACAAAACCTGCTTGATTTGGTGATATAATACCAGGTAATAGATTCACCAATCATCATGCAACACCCTGAATAAGATCTTATTGCTAAAGTTGTTCAGGCTTATTGATCTTACATCTGAAAAGATGTTTATCTTCTCCTTCTTAGGTAATAAAACCAGGATAGTGTATATGATGGACTTGGGAATATCCTGTCCAACAAAGAAAGCCCTCACTATATTGATCATCTTCTTTTAAAGTTTCTCAACCTGTTTGATAGAGCTTCCCTGTTAAGCCATCAGGACCACTACAACTTTCTCCACTCAGCTCAAAAACTGCCATTTTAATCTCATCTTTTGTTGTTAATTCAGTTAACTTTATGTGCTTCTCTTCATCAATCAAATTAGTAATGTGTTTGAGTAGGTTAAAATCTTCTGACATATGCTGCTCAGTTAATTGTTTCTGAAAGAAACTAATAGCCTCATCTGCTATCTCCTTGATGTCTGTCTGTCCCCTTCTGCATTGAATATCTGTGAGTCTTAGCTTCTTTCTTCTACCATTCACATAAGCATGGAAAACTTTGTGTTCCTTTCACCATCTTGAAGCCACTTTAAACACCTGCGTTTCCAGTGTTTTTCCTCCAAATGTAGATATCTTTGCTGAGTTTTGCTTGCACTTTATATAAACTTTTCCTTTTTGGAGGACTTGGATCTTCTTCAAATTGCCCTTGAAATATAATTCATCAAGTGTCTTTACTCCACTTCAGTAGAGCTCTTTTCACCTTTTTCAATTTATGTTGAAAAACAATGAAGGGATTGCCACAAAACTCAGCATTCCAGTTCTCTTGAATCAAAGCTTTAAAAGTCTCATGTTTTGTGCAGAAATTCAAGAACCTGAATGGCTTGATATCTTTTCTTCTGTTTGTGAAAATTCTAACTCTAGAGGGGAATGATCTCAGGATTGGGAATAAGTAAGGAAGTTTTTGATAACATATAATCTCCTTCTGTAGTTCTGTACTTTGTTGCCCCGTGCTCCTTCTGTAGTTCTGTACTTTGTGGTCCCGTGTCTTTGAGTTGTACCTCTTTAACATTTTGTACCAAGTCAGAGACCTTGTCTGTCAATTGTGTCTCAGTTTTGTCACATCCTTTGGAGTTGCTCTATTTTCTGTTTGTTTACCAACAGCTCTGAATGGGCCGTTTTCTTGTTATTATCTTGTTTTTCCTTCTCCTTGCTTTCTACTGATTGATCTATTACTTTT